ACAAATACCGCTAATATTTACAGAGCCACAGCATCGAGCGTTGGTTCCATGAAGACTGAGAGAGTACACAACCTTGAGGACGTCTGGATCCAGAACAGCCAAAGCAGATCCTTCCTGCAGAGGGCATCATTTGACCAGGCTGCGATACCCCGCAGCCCTGCGGTGGGCAGTCCCGGAAAGGAGCTGCTGAAGATCTAGGAGGGACTTGTCTGCCTCTTCTGCAAGCCTCACACAGACCAAGTCCCAGCTCTTTCTACATTCACTCTCTGCGTGACAGCAGTCTGGGGCTTCTAGGGTTGGCAGGTTGAGGAGAGGCTATCAGGAGTGCACACACCCCGAGTTGTGGTAAGCGAAACAAATTAGGAAAGTCACAGCGGACTAAGCCAGCCTCTGGCAGTTTGCACGGATGCTCTCATGAGGCAGAGGAGGAGAAATGAAGACTTATTTGGACAAGAATATCTGTTCCTCTTAATTCATATTAGAGGTACTGCCTGCCCTCAGAATGTACCTCCCGTGTATCTGGGCCAAAGACGGAAGCCCAGATTAGGAATGAGAGCTGGTTACGGAGTGAGTCCACTGAGAAATACCCGTCTCCGACCTGAGTGTCTGTGTCTAACGTTTACGTCAGATAGGAAGTAGGCAAAAGGAGAGACTATGCTGGCTCCTGGTCCTCCCTGTGAGGCAAGGCCTTGGGATCACAGGCCGAGCAGGACCTCCTGTAGACAGGCAGACTGCTTGCAAGGAAGGGAGGTGAGTGGATACCGGAAATAAAGTACCAGGCGCACGGGTGAGAAGGGCCCAGCCTGCCCACGTCTGTGCCGGGTCTCCTTGCATCCTCCTCCACCGAGCTATTGCCAGACTGACGGCCGGGGAGAGAGAAGCCACACGGAGTGCGCTGGGGAACCATTGAGAGCATACGTTTTCCAGGAGTCTGACCTGGGCAGGGTCTCATCCCCTCATTTGCAGCAGACAGCTTTTAGTATAGCTTACATCTCTTGGAGGCGCGCATCTAACCGGTGCCTGGCAACGGGGAGGAAAGCAGCGTGAAGCCCACCCTAGTGTCTGCCGTGTGGGGATGACGGATGTCAACGGCACGGGCAAACCACGGCCAGGCTGTGAGGAAGCAGGAAGAGGACAGAGGGCGCTGCTTGCTGATGACGGATGAACTGAAGAAGAGGAGGGAAGACATCAGAGCGTTTTAGGAAAAGTTGGCCGGGCTGGTATAGGCATTGGGACATAGTGTCCACTCCTTGCAAGGTGGGCCTTTGGGAGCGACAGGAGGCTCCCTGACCATGTGACCCTGCAGGGTGGTGTGAGGCACAGTCTAGGGGATGTTCCATCCAGCCACAGACTGAATCCCAGCAGGTGCTTTGGGGGCATCGACCCCTCTTCAGTCAGGGCAGCTGTCTGTTCCGTTCCCCAGCTGCTGCTCATCTGAAACTTTGGGGGCTGACATCGACATGGCCTCTGTTCTTTAACTTCGCGTTTTTTTACCCCGTCTTTTGTTTCTCTTACATATAAAACCATGGGGTTCTAGGTTTGGAAGAAACAGAAATAATCTAAGCATGATGGCACACACCTGCAATTCGAGCACTTGGGAGCTGAGGCAGGAGGATTGCTGTGAATTTGAAGCCAGCATGGGCTTCACAGTAAGTTCTAGGCCACTGTGGGCTATAAAGTGAAACCTAGCATAAATAATAAATAAATTTAAAAATAAATAATCTTAACTCTTCATTTAATAAAAGTAGAAACCACAGCCCACAGAAAATCATTGCCAGTGTGTTGTTGTATGGCTCTTATGGAACAGAGATGATATTAGAACCTGGGTCTCTAGACTCTTATAGACTTTTAAATTAGAACTTTAAATTATTCATCTTCACCCCATTATTCTTTTATCTGCCCGTGAACGTCTCCTTCTCCATCATCAGAAGCACTGGCTGCTCTTCCAGAGGACCCAGGTTCAGTTCCCGGAGTCACAGGGCAGCTCAGCCATCATTCCTGTCCTAGGGGCTCCAGTACCCTCTCTGGCCTCTGTGGGCACCAGGCACACACATGCCTACGCAGGAACAGCACTTATATACACACAACTAAATGTTTTAAATTGGCTGCCTTATTGCATCTGTTTCGTAAGAGCCATATGACATTAGCAGTAATTTTCTCCGGGCCTCAGTTTCTACTTTTATTAAATGAAGGGTTAAGATTATCTACCTATCATGTATCTGCCTATCTAACTGGTTGGTATGTCCTGTCCTGTCTGTCTATCCATCCACCTAATCTATCTACCTACCTGCCCGTTTATCTTATCCATCTCATCCATCTCATCCATCCCATCCATCCATCTCATCCATCTCATCCATCCATCCATCCATCCATCCATCCATCTCATCCATCCATCCATCCATCTCATCCATCCATCTCATCCATCCATCCATCCATCCATCCATCCATCCATCTCATCCATCCATCCATCCATCTCATCCATCCATCCATCCATCTCATCCATCCATCCATCCATCTCATCCATCCATCCATCCATCCATCCATCCATCTCATCCATCCATCTCATCCATCCATCCATCCATCCATGTCATCCATCCATCCACCCACCCACCCAACCACTCACCCACGTCAATGCAGGCTCTCACTCTATAGCCCGTATTGTTCTGGAACTTTCTATGATGTTCATACCAACCTCAGACTGGGCCGTCCTCCTGTGCCACACTGGAATGACTAGGTGCCAACAGACTGCTTTCTGCAGAACACATTTCCTTTCCTAAAAATTATTCTTACATTTGTGTGGGAGCAGGGGGGCACAGTTCCCTCCTCCCGCAGTATGGATTCTCAGGACTGAATGCAGCTTGTCCAGCTAGGCGACAAGTGCTTTACGTGTGACTTTGCCATCCCTAAAACAGACTCTAGAACATGCCCAGCCTTCTGTCTGAAGCCCCAGTCACATCACTCAGAGAGGTGCCCACAAGCCCTTGCTTAGGAGAGCTGCTCCGTGTAGCCCCTGCTGAGTTTCTGGTACCAAGGGGTGTTCTCCAGAGCCCTTTTAACGTGTAAGCCTCCACGGCTCCTCCCTTAGCTCGCCCACCTTTGCTAAGTTCTTCTAGGTCTCTTACGTGGTACCTTGTTACACGACTCTTCCGTGACTCCACACTGGCAGCCAGGAGTGTCTTCCTTACGTATCAATCTAACCATGCCGTTTCCATGCTCAAAGTGTCCATGGCAGTCAGGATACAGCCTGTATTTGTTACTTAAGGAAGGGTTTACTGGGGCCTTGGCTCAGTTTGAGGGGCTGTAGTTCACCATGGCGGGGAGAAATGTGGCTCTGTGGCGGAAGGACCATGCAGCAGATGACGGCTCCAATCCCAGTGGACCAAGGAGCCACAAGAAGTCAGTGAGCATTGAGTGTAGTGCTGCACCCTCCGGGCCTGACCCCGGTGACCATTCCTTCCAGCTAGGCCCTATGTCCCAAAGGTTTTACATTCTTCTAAAACAGGACAAAGCGTAACATATGAACCTATGATGCATTTCATATCCTGACTCCTTACATGGTAACCAAGGCCCTCAGAGACCGTGTCTGTCGACTCTCTGATCCCTTCTGCCCATCACCATCTATTCACAGCCGCATGGTCCGTAGCTCCAGCCCCAGGCAGGGCCAGAGACCCTTCTGCTTCCTGGCACCTTCTCAGGTGTCCTCTGCTGCTTGGGCGGCTGGGGAAGCCCTTCTGCCATGGTCTCGTGGCGCTCTGCTCTACCTGTTACCCCCTTAATTGAACTTACCATGTGAGCGCGGCTGTCACCTCCTGGGATGGTATTCTCCCTGAGGTGGGGAAGCCACGTCAGAGTCAGTCCAGGCTGGCCCTAAGTAGAGCCCACTAAATAAACGCTCTACTGGCACCTCCTAAGGTGTCCTGCATGAAGAGTATAAGCAGCCAGGGGGAATCATGCTTACAGGGATACAGGCCTTGTTCAGTCACTAACACATGCTCTAGAGGGGACAGGACAGATCATTAAGAGTATAAAGCCTCCTTACTAGGAGACGGAATTCTCTGAATAAGTTTTCTCATTTTCTCTTTGCTTTCTAATACAGCATTACTCATGCATGTTTTATTAAGCTATCTTTAGACTCTACTTCTTATAAAATATTCCTACAAAGATGGACACTTGCACATTAGAGGTGGGCAAGATGCAGATGCCGTCCTGTGAGCTCCAGCAATGTCACCAGGGTCACAGGGAAGTGCTCTGGGTGCTGGAGGATCTCAGTTTCAAGGGGAGCAGCTACTTATTCACTGTGGCCTTGAAGCAGTTCCTGGGCTGTGACAAGAGTTTTTACTCAGATTGCAGCTGTGCTCCTCCCCCCCCCCCCAGCTACTGCAGAGTTCATGTTCACGTGTTAAAACTGTCTCACAGCTTTTAAGAGATCTAGGAATACGGCCAGCAAGTATCTTATTTTCATGTTTGAAATAAGGGCAGGGGGGGGCATTAGTTTCTATTTTAATGAAACAGCTAGTTTTTCTTACTGTGTGTGTGTGTGTGTGTGTAATGCGTGCCTATGTGCACATCCATGTGCAGCTGCACTCTTCTGTGGGGAGGTCAGAGGTCAACTGCAGGTACTATTCTCAATCACTGTCTGAGGTGTGAGAAGGTCTCCCACTGAGCTTGGAGCTTCCTATTTCAGCTTGGCTGGCTAATGAGCCAGAGGTCCTCTTGTCTTGACCCTTAGCACTGAGTACTGCTATGAGTCATACGTCTCATGGGTGCTGAGGATCTGAACTCAGGTCTCATGCTGTGCAGCATGCACTTGACCTATGAGCCATCTCCCCAGCCTACTTGCTACCTCCTGAGCAATACAGAATTCTTCTGGTTAACAACCGCATTTAGGAAAAAAATGTCATTTTTAATCACTGAAACACAGACCTACTTTCTTTGCCATCTTTCAAAGGAAACAAAGCATTAAGTGTATAAGAAAGAAAACAACAACTGTACTGCCCCAATGAATCTTGAAAATTTATTTTTTGGGAGAATATCAGATATTGATCTTTTGCTTTATAGCTCATGATAATAACCAGAAAATATACATTTTGAAATGAAGTCAAAAGAAAATAATTACATATAATACATATTACAGATTTCTTATTTACACATCAGCAAAGCGGTACTAAAAGCATATTTATGGCCCACAGTCAGTGAACACGGACACTTTCTGTCTAAAGCTGCAGTGACTCAAACCCTTCTAGGCCTGTGAGGGTCTGTCACCACGCCCGCCCGGCTGTAACCTGTATTTCACTCTCCCCCCCACATATGCATACAGTTATTGCCTTTAGAGTTCTGCTGGTTTAACAGGATGCTAAACAGCCATCTGCAGTCATTTGGTTTCTAAAAATATATATATATATTTTAAAAAAAAAGCAAGTGAAGGAGCTCCCACAGCTTTGACGCTCCAAGGTGCGCTGGGGAAACGTGAAGCAGCAACACTAAATAAATACTGATGGCCGTGAATTCTTGACAGCTGACAGCCTTCTCCTGGAACTTAAAACCACCGTAGCAAACACCAGGCCTTTTGGACGTGGTCAGTGCTACAGGCGTGGAGGTGGGTATCACTACGAGACTTAAAAGCACTGACATGATACACAAGGAATACTTTCTGAGCTAGCTTCACCACAGTATGAACTAATCAAGACAGGCTTGTTTTACAGAGAGACACAGAGCATCGTTTAATGTATATAATCTAAGGCCTGATCTGCCCAAGGCAATGTCCAATGCTAACTGCCTGTCTCCGTGCGTGCCTGAAATCAGGTGTTTGTCCTTGTCTTTTCCATATTATTTCTTCAATCTGCTGAAGTCCTAACTTGGAAAGGTATTCCCTGATATGAAAGTTCTTGTCTCTAAGGACCTTTTTGCTCTTACAAATGCTGTGTTACCATGGGGCTGCACTTCATCTTGGCCTGGGAGCAGTGCTGACCTGTCTGTGCACGCCACCACACCCCACATGCCATACACAAGCTGTCTTTACCGTACATGCCAGGGTGCAAACCAGCTCTTGCTTGTAACTGATTTCAAGTACACGAGCTGCTGAGCTGCCCATTGATAACTAACTGGGCACTCAGAGGGCAACCTCAACACCAACTGAAGCCTCATAAAAACTTCCTTGTTCACTGAGACAAAAAGGGACGTTGATAGCCAAAATATAAAGGAAACGAGAAAAAAAACCACACACACACACACACACACACGCACACACACACGCACACGCACACACAACTGAGGTAACCCTGTGGGAGAGAATGACGATGCCCTAAAGGTCAAACATACCAATGATATTCAAATTGTTCATTGGCAAAAATAAAACTTGTAATATATTTAATTCCTGTAGAAAAATCGCATAATATAACCTTCAGTACTAGTTAAAAAGACACAAAAATTTGTGATCTAATTTATTATTTAGAACCTGGATACTTATTTCCCATTTGGTAGTTTTGAATCCCACTGCCTGCACCTCTCTGCTGAGATGGGGTGGAAGACAGGGCTCACAAGCCGATTCGTTTGCAGTCACGACAGGTAAAAAGTCACAGTAGCCTGAAGTATTTTCAGATGTCCCTACAGAACTTTAGGAAACACCAGAGAGTGGTGTGCCTGCGGAAGCCCTGTGACTGGTGACAAAACCACACAGTCTGTTTGTGGACTCACAAGGCCGCACCCTGCCCACCTGGGAGGCAGGGCTTGCGTGGGTGTGTAGTTAGGAGGGTAGCTGGCAGCGCCAGAGTTGTGAGGGTGTTAGGTATGTAAAGTGTGACACTGGCAGAGAGCCAGGACTGGGGGGAGCTGGTGGGATGTGCTGCCCGCTTTAGAGTTGCTGGTCAACCCTGGCAGTTCACAGCAGCCACATGAGCTGCGCGATGCGATCTCTGCCGGGTGCCAAGGAATCTGCGCAGGTCCTTCTCTTCTTTTCTGAGCAGGGTCCCGCACTAGACCCCACGCTACTCTAGAACTTCCCATGTAACTTAGGACAGCCTGGGTCTTATGGCAACTCTGCTGCCTCAGCCTCCTGAGTACTGGAATTATGGTCATGAGCCACCATGCCCAGCTCTGTCTTTAATTTCTCACCACAGAGCCTAACACACTTGCAGTTTTCTCTCCTTTGTCATCAAGGGTTAATTTAGCTGAGAGTAAGGCATGTACTGGGCACATGGAGTCACCACTGTCACAAAAAGCTACAAATTACTTTGAATTATTATTTTTAAATACATATAGATATGAAACAATGCTTACAAATCTGGAGGGAGTATGTACAGGCCATGGTTCCTTCTCAGGTCAACTGCAAAGCAGTAATGGCAAGGTCAGCTTGGTGAGCGTGAGGACCCATGGACAGCGGTTCAGTTGAGGTCTGCTGTTTACGTGGGTAAGAGACAGCAGCTGTTAATTCTTCCCACTGGGAGCCTAAACCCAGCAGCAGCGTTCTCAGCTCCATTAAGCGAGCTGGATGTGGTCAGTCACCGCATTGCTCTATCAATCCACTCTTATTTTATTGCATGTAAGTAATACAGAGAATGTTTTCTCTTTAGAACTGAAAACTACTTTGCGTTTCAGATTGAAGTCTTAGCTACACTGTGCCCAATGTTCTCAGGGAGAATGGGAAGGGCCGCAAGACGTGTGACGGCATGTCTGATGTCACTGGATGTAACGTGTGACGGCATGTCTGATGTCACTGGATGTAACGTGTGACGGCATGTCTGATGTCACTGGATGTAACGTGTGACGGCATGTCTGATGTCACTGGATGTAACGTGTGACGGCATGTCTGATGTCACTGGATGTAACGTGTGACGGCATGTCTGATGTCACTGGATGTAACGTGTGACGGCATGTCTGATGTCACTGGATGTAACGTGTGACGGCATGTCTGATGTCACTGGATGTAACGTGTGACGGCATGTCTGATGTCACTGGATGTAACGTGTGACGGCATGTCTGATGTCACTGGATGTAACGTGTGACGGCATGTCTGATGTCACTGGATGTAACGTGTGACAGCATGCCTGATGTCACTGTGGATGTAGCTAAGCCGCTGTTCATGAGAAGAATATTGACTTTTTTTGGCTTACTATACAAAATGATATAAATATAAATGGAGATAATATCCTATAAAGTCAAACTTAAAAATAAAACCACACTCTGATTTAATTATTTCCTTGGTAAAAAAATTCCCGACTGCAGTGTTCTGTTCTCCGCGTTTGACTCAGTGGCTAGAGAACACACGCAGCCCGTGTTTTAAATCATGGCAAGCAGCACCTACCCCGTGTGCATGCATGGACTACACAGAGAAGTGGGCTATTCTGAAATGTGTCACTCCATTCCTAAAGTACGGCAACCCTGTCCCTGGGGATCTCTCCTTCTCACACTGTGTCACCGCGAGGATCCACGGGAGGTAGTGGCGAGCAGGAAAGACCTCAGTGTGTGTCAGGAAGCCCAGGACAGACACCAGCTGCGCAGCTGGCAGTCTATGACCACAGCATTTTACATGAACCGTTTACCCCACTGAAGATATTTCTGTGATGTTATGTGGTAATTTATGTTGGGAAATACTGTGAAGAAACAATTAACTTCCAGACCCGAAAGAAAGCTGAACTATCTGGTTTAGGACGGGTGGACAGAGGCGCCGGTGGAAGTGCAGCGAGCTCCGTTGGAGTTGGTATGGAGGTAAGGCCCTCGTGAGACCGCGTAGCCGTACACGAGCAAAGCCGGACGGAGTCTGCCAACGTGCAGAGTCAGAACCCACGATATTCAACACGGTAAGTCACAGGATGAGAACTAATAGAATAGGAGTCTGCCAACGTGCAGAGTCAGAACCCACGATATTCAACACGGTAAGTCACAGGATGAGAACTAATAGAATATTAACAGTAACATTCATTCATTAATCAGTTACATGGAATAAATTAACTAAACAGTTAACATAACTTGACTCTCAATGCAGAGTTTATTCATGTATAAACATAGATTAATACTTTCTAATGCTCTCTGAATGCTACAAATAAAAACGAAGGCTTTGCATTTCAGCTGCTGGACAGCATGTCAATACTGCGAAGTGTGAGCAGGCTCCATGGTCAGCATCAGTGCACAGGGTAACGTGGTTTGTGATGGGAGAGGGTATAGTGGCTTGGGAACAGATCCTGTTCCGTTGGCACAAACTGAAGGATTTTACTGTCCTTGGTACCTTGGCTGGATCCTTCTCCTGAAGACAGTGTTATACATAGATGCCTTCAGGGTTAAACCCAGAGGAGATGGGGTTCTGCAGAATACGAAGATTACTGGGGAGCTGCCGTGATGAACCAGGTCGCTTCAGGGACCCAGACTGGAATGGCGTCTCTAAACAGGAAATGGACAGTCATCTGGTGAATTGGCTAACCAGAAAACTCGTTAAATTCTCGCTGCAAAGAACGGGGAAGGACAAGACAGGCCGGGGAAGGAGGAGGCAGGAGCTGCGGGAAGGAGAGGAGCACCGGGGACGGCAGGAGCGGGCATGAACCGGTTCAGAGGGCTTTGCCCTGCTGCTTCCCCCTCCCAGGCGTGAGGGGACAGCACACAGATGGCAAGTTTCAACTACAGGACAGATGGACACCTAGGACTCAGGAGGGGAGGGGAGTCTGGAGGAGCCAGGGCGCAGATTAACATGGTCCATATTCATGTTTACACTTTGGTAAACAGGTCCATAAAGAAGTAGTTTAAAAAAGAACAAAGTGACCATCCAAGAAAACAGATTCCCCAAATGCTACCGATTTGCTCAGACAGGAGATGGCTGTCATCGTAGGTGACTTACCAGGGAGAATAAAGGAGAAGGCCTTACCCGTCTCTACGCCTGCCTGGGAGGCGTCCGTCTCAGTGGGCTCAGCTGGCAGCACGGTGACCTTCGTCCCTGTCTGCTGGATGAACTGCTGGAGGTTGACTTGTCGCAGCTCTTTGGTCAACTGCTGCAGCTCCTGCTCCTTGTCCTGGTTGGAAAACACCAGGCACGCTGTAACTGGGCTCTGGGACAAAGCCTGCTAGGTAGGGGTGGGAGGTGGGCCCCGCTGTCAGGACTCATTCGACACACTTGATTACATGGACACAGTGGTCAAAGAGGGTACTGTCCATCCTCTCAGACATGAGGCTTCCCTTCTGGATGCTGCCACACACTCACATAAAATAAGTGGATGTTCTTAATCTGTCATCACAAAAACACTAGTTCTTTACATCTTAGCACTACAACAATCTTGCTCATCTGGTCACAAATTTCCCTCTTACATACTTTATAACCTACTGCGAATTAATTTGGTTCACAAGAGTTAGAGTTCTTAGTTTTGACAGGATGTTGGAGTTGAATCTAGTAGTATTTATTCTATAGCACGAGGAAACCAAGATTCTCATGAAATTCTCAGTCTACGGTTCTTAAGTCTACGACAGACAGGCCTGAGCTACAGAACGTTACAGTCATTAAAGGTTCCCTTACACGGATGAGGTGTCCCGCGTGCGGACACGGACGCCCTCCTTACCTGTAGCCGCTTGGCGGCCTGCCCCAGAGACCTCTCCACGGCCCTGATGCCGCTCTCCAGCCTCAGGCTCTGCTGCCCCTGGAGGTCCACTTCCCCCTTGACCTTTTCTATCCTGCCTTTCACCTCCTCCTCAGTGACCTGCGCCTCCTCAACTTCCCAGTGCAGCTTCTCTGCCTCGAGACCGCTCTCCATGGTGTGGATCTGCGCCAGGTAGTCCTGGAGCTTGCTGTCACAGTCCGTGACTTTCTGCCGGATCTCATCAAGCTGGTCCTGCAGCTGCTTCTCATTTTCTTGTTCGATCTGTAGTTCATTTTCCCAGAATTCCTCCTCCTCGATCTCCACATCATTCCTTTTGATCTTTTGCTCGAGGCGAACAATTTCCTCTTCCAAGCTGGAATTGTACTTTTGCTCCCAGAATCGTATTTCTATCTCACTGGACTCCAGCTGCTGCTCGATGGCCAGCAGCTTATCTGTCTGGAGTTGGATCAGCCTCCTCAGCTCCTCTGCCGTGGACCTGCAACTACTCAACACTTTCTGCCTAAACTCAGTTTCTTTGCCCTTTCCAAAAATGTCCATCAGCCCTTTGGCGCCTCCCGTGAAGGTCAGGGATTTTCTTTTCGGCTCCCTCCTTTTGATCAACTTGTCCACCTGGGGCCGCAGTTTGGCTAACGGGGGCAGGCTCTGTCGGTACAAAGTTCTTTCAGGAATCCGGGCCACACTGTCTGAGGTGGGTCGCTCGCTGAGTGACGGCCCAGTCCGACGCAAGATGAGTTGTACGTCGCTAGCATACTGCCCCCACTTGTTTAAGGATATGATGGGGTTTTCGTGCGGTGCCAAGTGCCTTTCAGTATCTCTCCATTTTTCTATAAGGGTGTACCTTCCAGTTCGACCTACAGAAAGGAGCAGAGTGCACTGTCACAGTGGGACATGTGAAGATAAATAATGCAACACACGACAACGTCCAACAACTGTTCTCGGGCAGCATCTAATGTCAAAGCTCAGAGTCCAGGCTCCTCTGGCAGCTTCAGAAAATACAGGAGCTCTGGAAGCTGAGAGACAGGGGCTGCTCGAAGCTGAACTATGAGCATCCCCCAGGTGTTAGACCCCAGTTCCTATTTCCTCTAAGAACTGTACACTCTGGTCAAACATCCAAGTGTTAGGAACTTCTGGGAAAGACTGAACAAAGGAAAACATTGGGAATGCTTCCCCACAGCAAAGAGCAGAAGGTCCCAGGAGCTAGCAGAGCTTCGGAAGGTGCAGAGATTTTCACTGTGGGAGCCTTGACAAGAGACCCAGAGTCAGTGAAACTGCAGCCCAGGCCTCAGCCCCGAGTACTCAGTTGGCCTAAAGCTCACAGAGCTGTAGCTGCCCGTGAAGATGGCCCTTCCGATAACTTCCTGTGAAAGGGGGATGAGAGAAATCTGGTTCAATATTGATAATAGTAGCTTCAAAGGGTCTTCAAAAAAAATCAAAATCTCTAATTTTATTATTAGAGACAAAACACAGTAAAATCATTTAAATTAAAAACGGGCTTTATCTACTAAATAACAGAATTGAAATAAACTTTCAAAAGACAATATAGGGGCCAGAAAGAAGGTTAAGTGGGTAAAGATGCTTGTCACCAAGCCTGGTGACCCTTAGGACACACAGGGTGGAAACAAAGAACCAATTCCTGAAAAAACTTTTCTGGCCTCCACATGTGAGCTTTGTATATTTCCTGCCCCCCCATAAATAAACATAATACAAAGAAGAAAACAAGACAATGTAACGATACAGATGTGAACACATTCATAAGCATTTTCATTTAAGGTGGGTGCTATTTTGAATTTGTTGAACTAGTACCTTAGGGGCTGACAATAGATAATGTTCAGTAAGAATCCACTTCCTAAACATGAGCACCTGAGCTCGGAGCCCAGCACCCACCAAACATGTTGGGACAACAGGACACACCTATGGTCCCTGTGGGATTTGGGGCAGTGAGAGGCTGTCTCAAACAAAAAGGCAGACAGTGCATGAGAAATGACCCTTACACAGGCAGGTAACACATGCATGCACATTTGTCTTGGAGCTCGCTCTTGTAGACCAGGCTGTTCTCGAACTCACAGAGATCCGCCTGCCTCTGCCTCCCAAGTGCTGGGATTAAAGGTGTGTGCCACCACCGCCCATGCATGCACATTTGGAACACACGCACATACACCAAACAAAGCGAGCATTAGTAGTCACTGTCCTATAAAGACAACGTTAGACTGCAAGGAGAGCAGCATATGAAGCCTCACTGAGCGCTGCTGACACACAGCAGTATCCTCTCCATTACTGCGCACACAGGGCATCTGGATGTGTGGGTATGAACCCTCCCTCAGCAGCTCAGAAGCAGACCATAAGGCCAATCCGTCTGTTACTTGCGGCACACAGTCTACATTGTTAAGTAAATGTGACATCAGTACATAATGGCAAATAAAACACTGATTATATTTAACTAGTTGGAGCACTTAGAGTGTAGCTGGAGAGTCTCATGGCAGACAGGAAGCAGCTGCAGGCAGTCCAGTCGATTCCCAGATGAGCTCTGCATTCAATTAAGTGTTTATGACACAGAAAAGGACTTTTTAGGCCAAACTTGAAGTAACATTATAAAATATCTATATTCAAGTTTTCAGTATCTCCAAGCAGGCCTTGAGGTGACTTATCGAGAAAGGAAAAACAGGGTAGTCCGTTCAGTTAAAACATTTGTTCACAGGTTAAGTACATGCTTCATTCTAAATGAAGAAACACACATCTGGTGAAGAGGTGTTTTCTCCATGGAATTCTCTGCAGAGTATGTGTTATCCTATGAAAAGATGCAGCTTGCCGCATACCCTCAGCTGGTCTGACCTCTGTAGACTTCATTTCCTTCTAGGCATGTTGGTGTGTGCCTGTTAGCCAGTACTTGGATGACCAAGACAGGAGGGTTGCCACAGGTCAAGTGCAGCCTGGTCTACATAGTGAGACCAGTCTTTAAAACTTCTGTGGGACTCCTAACAGTGGGGACAGGAGCTGTCTCTGACTCTTCCAGGCTTTTGGGAATCTACTCCATATACTGGGTCACCTTGCCCAGCCTTAGTACAAGGTGAGGTGCTTACTCTTACTACAACCTGATATGACATGTTTTGTTGATATCCATGGGAGGCCTGCCCTTTTCTGAATAGAAACAAAGGAGGAGGGGATGGGGGAGGGGCCAAAAGAAGGTGGGGGTGGGGACTGGGATGAGAAAGGAGGGAGGGAGGGAAGGAGGGAGAGAGGAAGAGGGGGAAGGCCATAAAAATTACTTTTAAAAAAATTCATGGTAAATTTCTAGGTGATGTCTTAATCTTCACTGAATCCTGGCTTGTTTCAATTCAACAGATCATGGGAGGTTCTTAAAAGGAATATTGAGTATGTTGGCAGAAAAGAAAATGCCCTAATTTCCCCTTCTACAATTAAGCTCAAGCCTTGGATGAGAGGTGTTTCCCTGACAGGGAAGCCTAGCCTCTGGCACTGCTTTAATACATATCTATGGAAAAAGAAAGCATCTCAGCTAGTGTTTAGCAGATCTGCCACAGAGCAAGCTTGCTGGCAACAGGTGACCTTATTTCAACCTTGAGCTTCCCATATGAACTTTTGACCAGGAGCTCAGGGACAGAGAAGAACTGAGCACTTAGCATGGTGCCGGATGCAGCTTCCTTAATGCTGTTTGCTAAAATAACAGATTTATATGCAAATAGAAACACTGAACACATCCTTGGTTTTATGGAGACAGAGGTTTATGCTCTCTCTGTGTTCCAAAAAAACTACAGCCAAGTAATAAGTATGTAAAGCTCTGATAAAACCTTAAACAGGTTTTTATTAAGTCTGACCAGGTGGTTTTTAAAGCCTCTGGAAGTAGTTTGTAGGATGAACTAGGAAGAGTTTGGAGACACAGGCTAGAAAAAATCATAAGAAGCTGTAAATAAGAGTTAATGGGAGCCGGGCGGTGGTGTTGCACGCCTTTAATCCCAGCACTCGGGAGGCAGAGGCAGGCGGATCTCTGTGAGTTTGAGGCCGGGCTGGACTACAGAGTAAGTTCCAGGACAGCCTCCAAAACAATACAGAGAAACCCTGTCTCTCGAAAAACAAAAAAAGAAAAAAAAAAAAAGAGTTAATGAGGATCTGGGCAGAAGTTCAGAAGAGCAGAATTCCTAAGGAAATGTGGACAATGAATGCTTGCCTCAGGAAATTTCAGATGAGAACAAGTCTCAACTGGGAACTGGATCAGAAGTCATTCGTGCTGTGTTGTGGCAAAGAATTTGTCTACATTCTGTTCATACTTGCGACTCCATGGGAGGCGGAGCTTAAACAGGATGGCACAGCTGATCTGGTGGAGATCAGCACGCAGGCCGTGGCACGGGTGCTGCTAGCTGCCTTGAGCCAGGCTTACAGCAAGAACTGATGGAAAAAGCCGAGCACACTTTGGGAACTGCAAGGACTAGAAAAGGAGCACGCTGCAGACGAGGGCGTGGCACTGTGCCAACAGGAGGGGCGCTCACAGAATCTCAGAACCTGGCCAAACTACAACCCTCACAGACCAAAGGGGAGTAGCATCACCTGAGAGACTTTCAGTGGAAGGAGGGCACCTTTGAGGTACCTGTGGGATAGGGCTGCCTTGGAAGTATTTCTCTCAGGACTTTCTAACTGTGCACAACGGCCCGAGGGCCTGCAGGCAGAGAGGTGGTCCAAAGAGGATCTGCAGGCAGAGAGGTGGTCCAAAGAGGATCGGCTGCTGCTTGGGCTGGTAGCAGAAGTGGCATCATCCAATTGGTGCTTGTTTTACAGGCATGCAGAAGATTAAGAGCTATGGGATAATGGGAACTTCCGTCCGGGTGTCAAAGGAAAGCCTGGGAAGCCAGGCAGCATGTGTCAAGGTCAGACAGAGTCCCTGAAGGCCACTCTGAGGTCAGTGTGTGAAGCTGGGAGGGTGCAGGGGAGTCTGCAGCAAAGACTCCGGGATTCTGGGAAGACGAGAAACACACGGCATCGTTTGAGAAAGCTGCAGCCAGGGGGACAGTCGGTGGAGGAACGAGGCCCTGTGGGAAGGAAGCAAGGCCCTCTTTCTTTTCCTCCTCTCCCTTCTCCCCCTTCCCTGTGCACCCATGCTCTCCTAGTACCTGCATGTTCTGCCCAGGCATCTTAAGCCAAGAAACTATAGCCAAAATATCCCCGATCCCTAAAGTTAACTTTCAGGTATTTTTATCAAGATGCTCAGAAAGTTAGCTCATGCCCACACAGTACCACCACACCCCACAAGTATCAGAGCTTACTTGACAGAGCTTACTTACCTATAGCTTGGGCTAAGGCTATTACAACCTCCTGGCAAGTTGTGACTTCAGTGACCCCACAGACGACCCTCTGAACTCCATCCACCCACACTTTAAGCTCCATGGTGTGCTTGCCGGTCACCAGCGGCCCTGACAGAGGTCATCGGGGTTCCAGGTCATGGCTCTGGCTTTGGAAACAAAGAGGCAGAGTCTGCATTAGCTACAAAAGGTAAAACATCACTTTTTAAGTGAAGAACTTCTTCCCTGCAGCATATGAACTATAGCAGCACGACAGCACACACCGCACTGAGATGAAAGCCCAGGCAACTTTGAGGAGCAGCGCCCCTCGTGCTAAGTGGCTCCTACCACACGCCCACCCGACACTCCAGCGCCCCTTTGGTCACGTCCCAGGTCTACAAAGACGTATTCACTTGCTCAACGCCATGCTGGTGTTCTGTCTCTCTCTTCTCAATTTGTCCATCAGCGCTGCGGCAGAGATTCATTTTTAAGTTCCTATATCTCAGGACTCATGAATCGTACTTGCTATGCTATCCTGGTGACCAGTGTACATTCTTGTGTCACGTTCCCCTCCCAGAGTGCTGCCCAGCCCTCCCACGGTGCCAGTGAGCAAGGCGCCCTGTGAGATGTTAACAGCCAGGGCAGAGGGTGGGGCTTCACATGCCACAGAAATGAAGAAGAGCATGGACGTTAGCAAGTTCTTCAACAGACTTCCCGAAGCCTCACTAGCTCAGCAAATGCCTGTTAGATATGCATTGCATCATTGCTCTGAAATGACTGAGGAATGGAGACAGGAGTCCTGACAGGACACAGCCCCTTTATTAGACACCCATCCACCAGACACCACCATCCACCTGACACCCTGTCCACCAGGGAGACACCCATTCACCAGACACCTGTCCACCAGGCAGACACCCCATCCACCAGATGCCCGCCCTGTTCACCAGACACCCTGTTCACTGAACATCTCATTCTCCAGACACCCTGTTCTGTGAACCCCAAATATATATTCACCAAAAATATAACTCTTGGTATTATTTCTTTGAACAAAATTCAGATATCAAAAATTCAGACATTACATACTCTCCTTTGTTAAATTAAAGGTTCTGAATTGAAGACTAGTTAAATAACATTTTATTTTCCATTAAAAACCTTAATCTTGAGAAAGCTTTGGATCTCAGTGAAATCCTCTCCTTCCAAAGAAATGTGCCACAGGAAAGGAGCCCTCAGGCTCTAGGCTCTAGGATGATGGCTCAGTTTAAAGTACATGATAGAGTAGTTACCTCTAGACACAGTATGGTCTAATAGTGGGTCCCCAGAGCTCACATCCTCTGTAACTGCAATGGCCGACTGTCCTCAGTGGCCCCCCCTTCAGTGATTTTCACTCTTCTAGGCACATATGTTCTAAATTCCTATTTAAACCTCAGCATCTATGTTCTAGACCCCACATAACCTTTATCATCTGTGTTCTAGATCCCCATTTAAGCTTTATCATGTGTTCCAGATCACCATTTAACCTTTGGCACATCACCACACATTTTCCTGAGTAAAAACTTGCTTCACTTTGAACTTTTAATCCCATGATTGCAGTGGACACAAACACATGCACAGCCGTTATCAGAGACCCTGCTCCTAACACAAGCTCACAGAGTACCCACACTGTGAGCAAAGGCCTCTTGCCCGGGCTGGAGGGAGAGACAGCCTTTGCATCTTTGTTCTTTGAGCACTGCTTCTGTAGGTTTGGGGCTCTACTCTAATCATCTCAGCTCTCATTTGTGAGCACCACCTGAAGAACCAGTGTCTCCATCTTCCTAGTGGAAGCCCCCAGCATACCTCTTCAGGAGCCGAAACCTTCTGAAGTCCAGATCCCCAGCTCTTCTATGCCCAGTGCCCAGATTTGACCACAGGGGAAACGAGAAGGCCCACACTGTAGCTGCATGCAGGTGAGGTGAGTAATCAGGAAGAAAATGACATGGGTATCCCAGATAGAATTTGGAATGGGAACAGTGACATAGACAGAAGTTCTTCAATATCAGTAACAGTGACACAGTCAAGTCCTCCAACAGTAACAGTGACACAGTCAAGTCCTCCAACAGTAGTAACAGTGACACAGTCAAGTCCTCCAACAGTAGTAACAGTGACACAGTCAAGTCCTCCAACAGTAGTAACAGTGACACAGTCAAGTCCTCCAACAGTAGTAACAGTGACACAGTCAAGTCCTCCAACAGTAGTAACAGTGACACAGTGAAGTCCTCCAACAGTAGTAACTGTGACACAGTCAAGTCCTCCAACAGTAGTAACAGTGACACAGTCAAGTCCTCCAACAGTAGTAACTGTGACATAGTCAAGTCCTCCAACAGTAGTAACTGTGACACAGTCAAGTCCTCCAACAGTAGTAACAGTGACACAGTCAAGTCCTCCAACAGTAGTAACTGTGACACAGTCAAGTCCTCCAACAGTAGTAACTGTGACACAGTCAAGTCCTCCAATAGTAGTAACTGTGACACAGTCAAGTCCTCCAACAGTAGTAACAGTGACACAGTGAAGTCCTCCAACAGTAGTAACAGTGACACAGTGAAGTCCTCCAACAGTAGTAACAGTGACACAGTCAAGTCCTCCAACAGTAGTAACAGTGACACAGTCAAGTCCTCCAACAGTAGTAACAGTGACACAGTGAAGTCCTCCAACAGTAGTAACAGTGACACAGTCAAGTCCTCCAACAGTAGTAACAGTGACACAGTCAAGTCCTCCAACAGTAGTAACAGTGACACAGTCAAGTCCTCCAACAGTAGTAACAGTGACACAGTCAAGTCCTCCAACAGTAGTAACAGTGACACAGTCAAGTCCTCCAACAGTAGTAATGCAGCAGTAACTGTGACATGGTCAAGTCCACCAACAGCAGTGACACACCTGAGTACTTGTTTTCTTTTGAGATTTCTACATTTGCAATTCTAGCATCTTAGTTTTTGGTGGAGTCTGTGGCTGAGCTACATGGACTCAAGAGGATAGGAAGATGGTTTAAGTGTGTGGAGACATCTCACAAGACACACAGGGGATCCATGATACCTGCAGAAAATGGTGACCCTAAAAGCCAGCCTTGGGGTTCTGACAGTCACCTGAGGACAGGCCATGAGCAGCACAGCGGGAAGTCTGAGCTGCTGCAGACACATTCCCGGTGGAGACTGAACCAGGAACCACTGGACCTCTCACTTTTCACTCCTAGACTGACAGTAAGCTGATCTGATGTGCTGTCTAGAGTCTGATGCGACTGACAGAGAAAAATACACCTAACAGATGGTACCCAGTATTTAGGCAGCAGAATGTTAACTGAGTGTTTTAAAGTAGCATGTAAAATGTGTTGATTGTTGTTGTTTATGTATTGATTTACAAACTGTTGTGACAGAGGCTCATAGGATACTGAGCCTAGAAAAATGACTACTACTAGATGAGTGTTCACACAGACTTTACAGGTGATGCTGTGCTGTGTATTCAGAGACAGCATCTTTGTGATAACTACTGAGCAAATGTAACTCCTGGGACACAAGAAGTAAGCACAGAAGGAGCTTATGGACAAGTTTAGGACATTAACAAAAGATAAAGGTTCTACTGTCCCACAATAGAGAAACGGGCTAACTTGTATTAAATGTAAATCAGCAATTTGGCATGGAGGAAGAGAGTCTGTTACCAGTATTTTCACTAACATGACAGAAGACCTATAGCAAGCAACTTAAGAGAATAAAGATTTACTTTGGCTCAGTTTAGGTCCATCCTGGAGGGGAAGGCATGGAGGCCACAGTCGTGTGGACACTATGCCTACACACGAAGCGGAAATATGGCCCAGCCCTTTCCGGCGCAGAGGCCTCTGGAAATGGCGGTGCATACTCTAAAGTTTTGCATGGAGGGAGTCCAGCTTTCCCTCACTGTAGAAGGGTTTCACTGCCATTGCCCACCCACCTCTTCTAAAGCCAGACACCACCGTTCACAGTGATTAATATGTTCACACAGAACAAGCTCAAGTGACTGCTGAGTTATAATTTCAAGTTATTTCCATAGATGGAAATGGAAATCCTATCTTCTAAAAATTAGAAACTTTTACTATACAGAAAGTTATTATCAATGAAAAATTTTGGAAAAATAAGACCATTCAAAATAAGGGACATTTTAATTTATTGTATCATGTATCTAAGAACAATCAACAACCTTAATTTTTTAAAGGATTCATATTTAAAATTTAAATCACATTGAGCATAAAACATTCTGAGTCCAGATAAAGTTATTGGCATGAAAATATCAATCCTTCTATTAAGAAGGGCCTTTTTTCTTAAACTTTAAAAAATTTTCTTTTCTATTATATTGTGTGTGTGTGTGTGTGTCTTCTTTTCTTGCCTGCCTGCCTGTCTGCCTGCCTGCCTGCCTGCCAGTCTGTCTGTCTGTGGGAGCACACAGGTGTGAAGGTCAAAGGACAACTTACAGGAAATGGTTCTGTTTTTCTACCATAGGTTCCAGCAATTGACTAGGTTGGAAGGCTTACAGTAAGCTCCTTTACCTGCTAAGCCATCTTGGCAACCTCTTCCTTAAACCTTTCTGGTGAGTGTAACCAGTAACTAGTTTTTCATTTTATCTCTTACTTTGACACTTCAAAGGCCGTTTCTTTTTTTCTAAACTCATCTCGGATAGTGTCCTGACACATCCATTGCCCTAAGTCATATATGTACTTGACACTAATTCCATAGTCACACTGAGATTAATCCCACACCCAGTGGGATTAACCAGCAGTCCTTGATCAGCAACCATGTTTGTGGGAGCATGCGCCTAAATAAGGGAAGAAAGATGCTTTCTTGTGCATTAGCCTGCACTGAGCTGCAGAGAGGTGGCTCAGGGCTTGAGAAGGGTTGTTGCTCTGTCATGGAGGTGGGGTTTGGATCCCTGCACCATGTTAGGCAGCTTGCAAAGCCTGTAATCCAATGCCCTGTTCTGGCCTCCATGGGCACCTACATACATATCTGTGCAAAGACAGAAACGAAGAGAGACACATACACAATTTTATTTCAAATGGGTAAAATTCTGCTTCTTTACTAGGTTCTAAGTACAAATGCACAATCTTCATGTAATAACTGTAACTCAAAAATGAGAAAAATCTTTATAGTTATCCATTCAGAAGACAGATGTTAGCTCGCTTACCGGTCTCTTTCTATGTACACTGACAGACTAAGTGGTTTGCTATTTGCAACAGCCCAGGTTACCTTTTGGAAGGAAATCCACTGACAGACTGGACCCCTGGCTTCTGGCTGACAGAGTGCACTGCCGTAGCAAGTACTCTGCATGGACTGTGAGCCTGGCATCAAACCCCGAAGAAGGCGGCGAGAGAGAAAGCAGCACAGCGGCACTAAGACAGAGGCCACTTCCCACACTATGGGCCTAGCTCACAGCCTCCAGTGTAAGCACTGCAATCAGGTCTTAACAGTGCCCATCTCCCCAGGGCCAACTCTGACAGGAGTGCCATGGTCCCACATGGTGCCACTGCTTTCAGCACGTGTCATTGCCCCCCTCCTTTCTCTCCATATGCCAGCCTTGCTACTCCACCCCTCAAACGCTAACCTATCAATGACTGCCCAAACAGCTGGCTCTGCCTGGTGAAGGCTTGGGTTGGAGGAAGCGAGGGAGGGGATCTTGGCCGGCTCTTTCCTCCAGGCACAAGGAGGATGCAGCGGTAGTCTGATCTGCACTATCCCATGACACGTCAGAGACGGGGTTACTTAGTACAGGATCAGGGAGTCCATGAGTCTGCCCTCCAGTGGGGTGTCTATGGAAGGTATCCCATAGTGGCATATGCCAAGTAGATGGGAAGCAAGGATGTCAGATGGGGCTGGGCTTTAAACAGCCCTCTTGCCAGAAATAACCGGGGTCCCGGGCAACTCAAGGGACCAGGCTTCTAACATGCACACTTTCAGGAGACATGCAGATCACATCCAAAATGAGAGTGGCTCAGAGCTCACCAAACCAACTGGGAAAGAACCACAGCAGCGTGGAGCAGCTGCGTGGACATTAAGAATGGTGCCCAGCAGACATGGAGTCAGGGACAGAGCGTGAGCATAAGGAAGCTACACATGGCTGCTGATCTCCCTACTCTTAAATAAAAATATAAAGACAGTGAACTATTGGAACCCATTCTTGCAGTAGCATTATTAAAGGGAGCATGAAAAGTCATCTGTCGTGCAGCGTCGTTGGTGTGAGTGGGCAGCCTCTCCCAGTGCTGAAGACTGCACGTCACCACAGGGCTGGCTCTTTCACTGATCACAATGATGGACCCTGAGCAAATGTTACCTGCTCTCTGCAGAGAAAGCAGTGCTGTCTGCAAGGTGGATTTAAGGAC